TAATGTAGCTTTAAATATCTCCCATATTTCAGTGTACTACATAACATGTGCTTAGTTTTACATTGCATACTTCAAGTATTTATTGATTCCAAATACCAGAATATCCCATAAAGACAAATCTCCGCTGAATGATTTAATTATTATAAATACTGGTCGCTAGTGCTGCATTTTTACACACCAGAAAAATAGTAATGCTTAAACTGTCATTTTGTAGAGATCTGCTAATTTGTGCTTACAGGATAAGTAGCTTGTTCACACCAGTGTTCTCAAAAATCCTAAAGAAACACACTTAGGAGGCATAGGGGTTTCTGTGCTCACTCAGTTGTCCAGATGCAGGAAAGTTTGCAAATTAGTTCACTGAGACTGGAATGGCAGCTCCCAAACAAATAGGCCTCCCTTGTTGGGTAACCAGAAGTGAATCAATGTGCATAAATAAAGGGAGGTAAACCCAAAGAGTCCAAAAGTGCCTTTAATTGTTCACAATTCAATCGAAGAAACAGCCAACATGTTTCGGGGGCCCTTCATCAGGGCTTAGAATGGGATAAGGATTATATTTGACTCAAAATATACTATAACCAAATGGCCCTCTAAATGATTTGACTCTTTCACCTTTTGGTTTGGCACCCTTTATTACTGAACACTGAAAATCTTCTAAAACGTTGTGGAATTGCAAAAAATATTCTAAAGATGTGTTGAACGACATTGGACACTGTATGCTGGCAGCTGAAAGCACAAGTCATTGGTGCAAAGTTTAAACAAGAGCTCCCTTGCATTTTTTAGAGAACGATTAAAGCTGAACTAGGCACACAACTAAATATACAGATGCAGTACATATAAGGGACCTGCTTCACCTGACAAAAGTTTTGTATTTCTGTCTATCCATGCCTCAGTTGTACACAGCTCTATCACACAGCACAGTCCTGTTTGGCAGAGCAGAAGACCTTATTTTTTCTGCTGCAGTTCAGTAACACTTACAGGTCTTCTCCTCTTCCCCACCCTGGGACTGGTCAGTAAAAAGAAAAAAGCAGTAGACTAATGAACTCACTTATATGTCACTTTTCTCTGTCCTGCTATCATGCTAACTGGCTGCTTATGCTGCTCCTCCCTGTCCCAGTCTGAGCTCTGCAGGACAATGACTGCAAGAGGCTGACGGTGAGTCAAATTCAGATACTGACACTACTTGCATTAAAAAATAAATGCAAGGTTGTAGTAACACAGCGCTGGCTTCATTTGTGTCTTTTTTTATCTGCCTTGAGTTCTGCTAAAATCTGTTTGGCTGCTAATTTTTTAGTAAAAAAACCATCAGGTAAAAAGACAGAAAAGGAATGATAAAATTTGCTTTATTCTGCACACAATGTATCATTAACACACAGTTTTAAAGTATGGATGAAGCATCAGCTATGATTGAGTGTCATACAATCTCCTGATAGCAGCCACTACTTTTTTTTGCAAAGTACAAGTGGAACAAACAGGCAACTATCATGTCCATGTGGCATTTAGATGCAGTTGTCTTGCAAAATCATATTGGTGTGAATACGCTCTTTGGCCTGTTCTTTCACAATGAACTTAACATTGCGTTGCCACCATTTTGTCCAGGTTGATTGTGATTCTACAGTGTATAAGTCATCTATTAACTATTACATACATTGTATCGTTCTGATATAAAGGAAACTATTTTTTTTAATTGGTCATCTACTCTGGTTAAAAAGGACCCTAACTTATTTTGTCTGCTTTATTGTATTCGTCTAATTTTTTTTCTCTGTATGTATTTCTAAAACCTAATAAAATATTTTAAAAAGTGGTACTGGGATAGGGACATAGCATATTGTTATTGCATCTTAGTATAGTGGCTAGTATATGCGTCCCTGTAACCTTTTATGTTACTTACACATATATGTGGTCTCTTTCGTTTGTTTCTATTGAGTCCCTTCACCGTTCAGGAAATGGAGCTCATCTGGAATTGTTATTTTTCAACCCTATAAAAGGAATGTATTACTGTGTCCTGGGTTCCACTGAACCCATACAGGGAATGTGCATGTGTTGTCTTTTACTCAGTGCTGTTATGACAATGGTACAAGATGGATCAAGATCTGCCCATGATCTGTAAATTATATGTAATTGTGGGCAAATCATATTTTAAAATGTTTAGAAAAAATTATAATTCACTAATATGTTATTGTAGTAAAGTCAAAGCACCACCTTCCTTGGGTCCAGTAATAGATGGCAATGTAGAAGACATTACATATACAATACATGTTAAATTGTAAGAGTTATTTGTGTCTTAAGGTTGACTACAAGACGTGTTTTACTTCAAAATTCTACACAAGACTACATCTATGAAAATACTCAAAATATGATCATTTATGTTTATTCTAACTTGACAACTAAAAATAAACCATTGCAAAAATATATAGCATATTATCTATTTACAGCATATATACATATAAACAAACAACTCTGAACCAAGAATATCCAATGCATAGAGTTATAACTTTCAGGTTGTGCGACTATGTAGCGTGATAAGGAATCCCCACTTGCTGGTGGCTATTTTATCTGATATAACTACAATATTGAATTAATGACACACATTAGCCTGATATGTTTTATAGGACTAATACATGATGGATCTGATCATATCCTTTTTTTTTATTTTAGCCTACAGTACAGTGCTTTACATGACTGATCTAACCATGCCGTTATTATTATTGTTTCAGTCAAACTATGGCAGTATAAATTTCATTTTTGTACATATAATAGGAGACAGCTATTTTTATATGCAAAGACCAATTTTAGAATTCAAATTTGACATGTAACATGACGGTCATTTTTCACATCAGAACAGTAATCTATTTATCATCATGAAAAAAGAAAAACAATACATTTAAACATGTAACAAGCTAGGTAATATATGCAAAAGCTACAGGGCCTGGCTGCAGCTTAGTATGAAAAAAGTGCACTCAAAATGTGCTGCACTCCTCACAAAAATACAGTTTTGCATTGCAGTTTGCTTAAGGATAAACTGCAAAGGTGGTCACAAAGAACAACACTACTAACACTATTTTTTACCAACTAGACACTACACTATAGCTTAGAAAACTAAACATGTGGCTTCCTCTGAGAGTAATACAATGCACGCGCACAAACACCCAACATCTGTGTCTACTTTACCACGCTGCTTCCATACTCCTCTACACACCTTAGTTAAACATGTAGAGGTTTAGTCTAAAAGAACTTATTAACAGTTATTTTCCCTACTAATTTAGTTGAAATAATCACTTATGCCGGGCATACATGGAGAGGCTTTTCATCCATACAATGAAGGAGCTCTTGTTTAGTTAATGTCCCAGTGATTACAGAGCAGCATAATCACGCAGCATAATCACGCAACAATGTGTTCTTCCAATCATTCTCTTTTATATGGTTTTCCAATTTTTTTCTCTCTCTTCCCTTTAATCTTTGACATAAGTATATATCAAATTGACTGAAGTATTGTCCTCCTAATGCCTGCGTTAATTAGGCCAGCCATGAAGGGCAGATTTCTCACAGAGAACATGTAGTAAGAGATCTGTCCATGCTCATCCAGATCGCTGTCCTGCTAAGACCATCATAATTCTTCTTCCTTATTCTTCTCGCCTTGCAATTCAGTTTAAAAAAGCAAACAATCACTGAGATTTCCAGCACATTGGGAAGTGCAGTGCTGGGCAATTCCAGGGCTTCCAAGTGCTAAGTTTGGTTTGGGATTAACTCATACTTGTCTGATTGTTGCAAGCAATTTCCAAAAATACTTGCAAATATTGGGCCATGTATGGAGGCCCTTATTCTCTAAGCCTGTACCACAATCAGGTTGGCAAAGCTGTATTGTGCTCAGCAATAAGCATACTATAACAAACCACATCAGAATTTAGATCTGCACTTTCTTTGCCTATCTGCTAAATTTGTGTTGTTTGATAAGTGCTGCATTCCCAAATACTGATGCAACTGGCAGCTAATGGTTATAGAGTGCTTTACTGCCTGATTAGCAGACTATGCCAAACTGTGCTTTGCTAATTTCATAAAGCCTGGTACATCATTTAAAAAATATGCGCTGTTGTTCTTTTGTTAATAAATACACTTAAATAACTTCCAACAAACAAAAAACCTATTAAAAATAAGAAAAAAATACAAAGTACTTATAGCAAGATAAGGAATTGCAAGAGTATAGCCAGGTAATGCATTGACACAAGAACAGGAACTGTCAATAACATTCAATACTAAACAAACATAGCAGCATTGTACATCTAGCATTAAAAAACAAACAAATGCAGTATCTATAGTTACTTCCAGGTAAGCACACAATTCCTGGTCAGCGTATCCGTAAACATTTAAAATAAAGAAATACATGGAGCTATTCAGCAAATTCTTGTAAATGTAAAATCAAAGCTGCTGGAAGCTATTTTTCCTTTGTGAGAAAAAATATCCCTAGGTGTCATTAATCTGAGGTAGAGACACATAAGACACCCTTCATTGGTCATACAATGCAAACAATAAGAACAATCATGTTCTTATATTAGTATAAGATGGATAGATTAGCCAGGGAACAGTATATATATATATATATATCTGTATACACAGTATTCAGTATATCACATAGATTCATGGCAGATTTACCCCAAAGGTATTCTAAATGCAATCTCACTGTTTTAGGGGTTTCCAAAAAAATGGTAAATGGGACCACTCCAAGTAGAAACATGTAAAAATAAAAAAGGTGTGGCAAACTTGTTCTGCTAACAAGGGTGCAATTCATGAATGAAGAGACAGTGTTAATTCATTTCAATTTGGGTAACAACAGCAATGATAATGGTGGGATACACTGCAGTGATTCACAACAATGTAAGTTAAAGTAAAATACATAAGAACTCTCCAGGAGTAGAATAAATGTAATAGATTAAAAAAAAAGACAGGAAATCTGATGGATTGAAAAATATAAATTGTGAATTTAGAAACATAGACTATAATGTGTGTAGGCTTTCCCCTCCTGAAATTTTTGTGCCTTTGACTGTGGTGATGGAGGTAAGCAGCCACTGTGTAGTCGTACTTAGTTTCCATTTTATTTGTCTCCTCCATGAGCCCAGTCATAGATCACTAAAGGAATACTTACTAAGGAAAACAGCATCCCCAGTGCAAAGAAAGCAAATGCCTGCAAGACAAAAGTAAATTATGTCATTAAATGTGTACTACATACTGGGGATCTCCACCTAATACTTTACTGTGGTAGTCTATACCTAGGTTTCAGTCTGGGCCTTGAGAGCAATAATTCTAGGGCCAGTATTTTGGGGTATCTCTAAATTGATGACCTGTGGGGGCTTTTAAAGTGTCTTTTATTGACTTTTTGGGGTTCTTGGGGTACAATAAGGAGTTGTGCTAATATTGCGCAACATAAACATTTTCAACTACCACCATTTTATTCTATAGGGTCTTGGCATTCAGAAAATATATAATGTTGGGGGGTTTTACGTCATTTTCAGGCCTAAAATGTGGAATATAACATGGGTGCAAAAATGGAAAAAAGGGCCTCAGTCATGAAGGGGTTAATATTAATCGGACCCTGGGAAAGATTTTGCTAAAGGGCCCCCACAACCCCCCAGACCCCTGTATCCATCTATATCACCTTCCCGCAAAAAGAAACTAAAAAATAAAAATAATATATGTATGTGTGTATCTCTCTCTATCTATATTTTAGGGATGCACCGATACCATACCAGACTGAGTACGAGTACCGATATTTTCCGATATTTAGAACCAGAGGTCTTACTGCACTCCTTACCGGAACATCCAAAAGACCCGTGCAGACAGGTGGGTGCTTGTAGTGACCACGGACGGCACCGTGAATAGTACAAATGAAGAAATAATGTCACCAGCACACCATAGTGGAAATTAAGCAATAGTCTGTTTTATGACACATTGCCATTCAATGCAAGCGCTTTCGGGGCCTCAGGGGGTCCCCTTCATCAGGCTCAGAATCTGATGAAGAGGACCCCCTGGGGCCCGAAAGCGCTTGCATTGAATGGCAATGTGCCATTAAACGGACTATTGCTTAATTACCACAATGGTGTGCTGGTGACATTATTTCTTAATTACCGATATTTTCCCTCACATACTCATCGATACCAATTACTGATACTTTTTTGTAGTGTCATGTGACAGTTTTTCTATAACAATACAGACTAATGATTTTAAGACAGTGGTGGAGCACCAGGGCCCAATTACAGCTGCAACTTCTGGGACCCTGGTAGTTCTGCCACTGACTCCATGCTGTAGAGCAGTGGTTCTCAACCTGTGGGTCGCTGTGCAAGGTGAGAGTCCTCCTCAGCTCTCTCCTAGCGCAGCAGTGTCAGTTCTCCTGCCACGCCTCCAGATGTCGCTGCAGCAGCCGCGTTATCCCTAAATTTTACCTTTCGGGGTCACCACAACTTGGCAAATGTTACCAAGGGGTCCCGGCCCTAGAAAGTTTGAGAACCACTGCTGTAGAGGGACTAAAGATCTCAGCAACACATTATATAGCAATGCAGAATAGCACTGGCTATAGAGAGCTACAAATCCCAGCAATAAAATATACAGTAATGCAGAATATCACCAACTATAGAGGACTGCAAACCTCAGCAACACATTATACAGCAATGCAGAATGGCACCAGCTATATAGGAGTACAAATCCCAGCAATACATTATACAGCAATGCAGAATAGTATATAAGTTTGCTACATACACTGTGCTGCCGCTCTGCTGAGGAGGAGCACACAGGGGCAGGTGTGGCAGATTGCAGCAGGGGCAGATGTGGAGGATTGCAGCAGGGGCAGATGTGGAGGATTGCAGCAGGGGCAGATGTGGAGGATCGCAGCAGGTGCCAATGTGGAGGATCTCAGCAGTAACAGATGCAAAGGGTCTCAGCAGGGGAAAAGGGTCTCATCAGGGGCAGATGCAGAGGGTCTCAGCAGGGGCAGACTGGAGGATCGCAGCAGGGCAGAAGTGGAAGGTCCCAGCAGGGCCGATGTACAGGTTGGCACTGTAAAAAGTTGCCACTGTGGAAGGCTCCTGTGAGGTCCCCAGCAAGCGCCGGACCTTACAGAAGCCAAATCTATTTAAAAATGTAAAGTGCTGTGACTCCTCCAAGGGGGTGGGGCAGGCCCGAATCTCACTGGGCCCCCCCTGCCACCAGCGGTGCCACTGCTCTCCTGCCTGCAGCTCTGGGTGAAAGGGACAGCTGCTTTGGGCCCCTGTAAGTTATGGGGCCCCTGCGGTAAAGATGGCCCTGGTTTCAGTGCCAATGTGAGAACTAACAAGACTTAATTTCTTCCCTAAGTCACCTTCAGTTAAAGTGTTAAAGCTAAAGCTGATAACAGGTACAAAGTGCAGGCACCTAGGAGTCAAATGCTGCGATGTTCTGAATGGGCAATGGTCCAGCACTTGCCTGCTCTCTTACACCTCACATAGATTCCTATTGGCCAATAAGGGACAAAAGGAATGTGTTGGGCCATGAGGTAGTGGCATCCTCTGATATTACTTTTAAGTATTAGCATTTTGGCATAGCAGAGAGTAAATAATGCTGCTGCAGGTATGTGCTGGCACATCCACATGCCTACACTTGACCATTAAGGAGCAGAGGCATACCCACTATTAAGAAAACTATGCATTTTTATCAGAGGTGCATTGTTTTAAGAATGTGATCAGACGATCACTCCGGTGTTTGCTCTGCACAGAGGGATCGTTAAATATCAATGATATTTAACGATATGACAGAGTATGACAGAGTTTAGTGTGCGCAGGTCCATTACTAGGAAACACAGGGAAGGGATGGACAGGAAATGGGGAAAGCTTTGGGGAAAGGGATCGTTAAATATCAATGATATTTAACGATCCCCCACTCGGTCACGCTACACAGAGCCGCTGTCATCCAAAAACTGACAGGATGACAGCGGTTCGGATCGGAACACCGCTCGGCCATCCTGAATTGC